GTTCTTTTGATTGAAATGTTTTTTTTTTTTTATAAAAAAGAAATCCATTTTCCAAAAACCTTTTATTTTATGGGTTTTAGAAATTCACCAAAGGAAAAACAACAGAGGCCTGGGTGACGTCTCGCAAAGGTGTAAATCTGTTATTTTGCAAAAAAAAAAAAAAAAAAAACAAACCCACTTTGTGTCTGTCTACAAAGCACCGCAGCGTTAGCTTCCAAATTGTATCTGGTGTGACTTGAAAAAGAAAAAAATTGTGTTAAATGCTCTTTAAAAAGTCTTAAACATTTCTGAAATTTTTTCTGTCTCCCTGACTGCACAAACTAAAAGTCTAAAAAATATGTTAATTAATGCCTGGAGAGAATTCTCGGGCCAAATCACGCAGCAAAACACTGTGATTTGCTGAAGTCCAGTGTTGGAATTGGCTTTAAAACCAGCAACGTGACCAAAGGAATCAGGTGGATCCCAGGGCTGGGTCGTGTGATTGGTGGTGCATGTTTACGGTGTGGGTCATTATGGGTCATACGGTGAAGTGTACGCCGCGTCATATACATTCACAGAGTGTCGGCGCTGGCTGTAATTTGTGTGTATGATTTGGCAGGCTGTCTTTAAGCCTCTCCGCGTGTGTGACAGGGAGAAGATCTCGGTGCCTCTCCTGTCACACGCTGGTTTATTATTAGCTGATATGGAGGCGCTGAGTAGAGGATGGTTATTTTTTTTATTTTTTTTATAATGTACACCTACACTGTGTGCTTGTGCTGACGGCTGAGGCCCATCATTTAATGAGAAAATCTCTCACAACAGTCAGGAGGGAACCAGCTGTGACAAACCTATTTTCTAAAAGTATACCTTTGCCTTAGGAGCGCTCCACTTTATTGAAATACACGCCCGTACCCACAGAGGCATGCTAGAAATTCAGAACTTGTGGATGAGCCTCTAATTTCCCCCCCCTCCCTCATCTGACAGTGGGAATAAATCATCTATGTCCACGGGTTTTCCCAAAGAATGGGGGTTGTCATGAGGGAAAGGGTGGGCCGCTTTTTTCCAGCCGGTAGACTGGGCTGCCGCAGGCAGGGCACAATGCATTAGTGCATGATGAGCTGTCAGGGAGGATTATTTCAGCCACGCCAGTCACTGAAGGAGGTGGGCGCCACTCTGCTGCACTAAACCAAGGAGAAAGAGTAGGAGGTGAGACCGAGAAGCGCACACACAGAGAGAGAGAGAGAGTAACACACACACACACTGAGGAACGAGGGGAAAGAGAAAGAAAGTGTCCGTTCTGCCGGGTGGATTTTTTTCCAGAGCACCGATGTTGGAACACTCCTCCGAGCTGGCTCTGGTGCAGAGTTTGTACGCCAGCAGCATGCGCTGTCCCCCCTCCGCGACTGGGATCTCTGTCAGGAATGAAGACCTGCCTCTGAGGTAGGTCGGGGGGTTGGCCCCCTCGTTCAAATCCGGGCTGGCTTTTGTGGAGGAGTCTGTGTGTATTTGGACTGCCTCTTTGTGTCTCCCCACTGGATGTTATCACAGGACATGTTGTTTCCAGTCGAACTGGTCTCCCTTCTTCCTGCTGTAAGTGCGGGAAGGAGTTGGACTAGTTGTCTCCTAGTTTTTTTTTTTATAAAAAAAAAAAAATCATTGATGTGTCAATAAAATCATTTAAAAAAAAAAAAAAAAAAACCCCCCCCTTAGAGAAAGTTCCGCATAAGCTTTGGGATGTTTGCATCAAATATGAATTAGGATGGCAGGACGGATATGTGAGTGATGCTATTGCCTGTGGGTGGTGCTAAATAAATAAAAAAAAAAAACCCAGAACATTTCAGATGTCAAATTTCTGCTGAAAATAACCTCACTGTACGTCATCGATAAGCAACACCATCCACCGTGAGTGTTTTTAAAGTGGAAAACCCATTCTGCAATCTGCACGAATCCAGAGCGGTTGGATTCTGGTCATGGTGGGATAATAATGATCACTAACCCACAGCAGACTCCCTTTGTCGTTCCCCAATCGCCACTCCACAAAGAATTCCAGGAGAGCCGAGTCTGTTTTAACGTGCTGCTTTATCGCGAGCGGCTGAGGGTTAATACAGATGCAGGATAGAAAGAAAAAAAAAAAAGGTGACCTTTGGGACCTGAGTTCAGCTAGATGTAAACACCCAAAAAGTATGGGGATTTGGAGCGGGATTACAGTAGTAATAATCTCAGATTTGGAACAGGAGGCCGGTGTTAGAGAGTGCGGCAGTTTGGCGTTGGCTTCTGGAGAAAGATGGGTGCAGAAACCTGGGCTGTACAGTATGTGGTGTATAGCTCCTCAGGAGAAAAAAAAGCTGCTCCTTCCGCGACAAATCTATTCAATAAGATCCCAGGAGATCTAATTGAGTTAAGGAGAATGCGTGGATGGTATCGTTGTATTTTTCTTCCATCTTAATGAAACCGGATTCTCCAGAGAGGTTTACATACTCTCTCTCTCTCTCTCTCTCTCTCTCTTCACAGCAGTCCATCACGCACAATGCTAATGCACGTTGCATTGTATTTGACTTGTCTGGCATACATGGCAAAATAGGTCGCGCATCTCTCTCATTATGCAAACCAACCTCTTTAAGGCAGCGTTTATTAGAGCACACTCTAAACCCGTGCCAGGTTGCCTTGGAATCGCTATGGATCCGGGGATTAAGTCGGAGCTCTTGAGTGGAATGTTTTTTTAACACTAGGCTAGGAAGAATATTTTTGGATTGCGCAGCTGCGCAC